AGTCAAAGGCCTTCAACTCTGTATCGCTCCCAAGATCTCTCTCTCTCTCTCTCTCTCTCTCTCTCTCTCTCTCTCTCTCTCTCTCTCTCTCTCTCGTTGATGATCACAGGCTTGGACAAGCACAATGAAGCTGGTCCAGTGCGGCCACGCGGTGTACGAAGAAGAAGGTGAGAACGGCGAAGGTGGCAGTTGAAGGCAACAAGAAAACGAAGGAACATCAACAAGAATGAAAAGACAGACTGAGTGAGGGAAGTGGGTACCAGTGGGTAAAAGGTAAAAATGTGTTGCAGGCCCAAACGACGATAGCACAGGCCGTCATGAAAAAGGTACCGGTAGTGAACAACCAGTAGGGTGAAGAGGCACCAGTACCACGACAGGCCTGGATGTGGCTACGCTAGTGCAACGGCTGAAGACAAAATGGAACCCCCCCCCCCAAACATCCACGACCCTCACTGCCGCTTCAGAGGCCCTAAAAAATTTTAAAAATGGACCGTTTGCAGCATGGGGCCTTGCTGGACACCACAGCCGTGGTAGGCGACATGGCGGGGCGTTCGGCTCTGGTGGGGGAATGCGGGTGGGGGAGGACATGTGGAAAAAAAAAAAAAAGAAACATTTTAATAATAAACGACGGGGATCGGGGAAGCGACGCATGTTTTTTTACCAGGGGACATAATTTCCCCCGCCCTGCAGCACAACACCGTACATCGTATTTGGTGAGTCCGGACCGCTCAGCGACGACACCGCCTTCGAGGGAGACGTCCTTACTCTGAGGCGCGATCAATTTCGGGGGAAAAAAAAAAAGAAAAAAAAAAGAAAAAAAAAAGGGGGCGATGGGCATGGGAGCGTGGGTGGACCAACCACAAGGAGGTCGTTCCGTCACATTATGTAGTCGCCGACGTTTTCCCTTCGCCTACCTGGTTTTCCGTTGGTTTTTTTTTTCTTTTTTTTCTTTTTAGGGTTTTTTGGCGATGTGCATAAAGGAGGAAGTGCGGGGGGCAGTTCCTTTGCATGGGCATCATCTCATTCCACGCTGAACAAACAGCCGCGAACCGTTCGCCCCCTTGGAAGGGGGGATTTTACTTGGCAAGGGAACCGGCTCAACCAAAAATCCCAAGGGGAGAAGCTGAAAGGAAGCACAGGAAAGACAACGACCCGGATAAGGGATGGACCAAACGCTCAGGGCTGAGAGAGAAACGAAATGCAGCAAGGAGGGAGTTGGAAGCCATGTGGAAGAGAGAGGAGAAGAAGAGAAGAGAGAAGCAAAGAGAGAGACTGGCCACACCGAGAGGGAGCCGCAAGAGGAGGTGAGGTGTGCGACGAACACGCAACATGGAAGAAGAAAGGTGACCAGAAAAAGTAAAAACAGGAAACAGGTGGGAGAGAATGGGGAGGCCAAGGCCACGTACCATAGTTAGAGAAAGGGAATCGAGGAAACAAGGGGGAAGGAGTAATAGGGCAAATGTTATCGGCCACAGAGGTGGGGAAACGTGAAACTTGTGTATCATAGTTAGAAAGAGGGTAGGGTGAATGATACAGCCGCTATAAAGAAACTATAAATTGTGTGCTTGTTAGGGGAGAGCGGCTCATAAACAAGATAGAAGGTAACATTTTAGAATATGTTGGTGTCTAGAAAGAGTAGGGGGATATCCGAGTCGATAAGGCAATAGTGGATGTATTCCTTCTCTTGACCTTCGTGTTCGATCCTTGAACCTATACAAGGCTCGCCGGGGACGGCGAGAGTTGGGGTGTGGGCTGGTTGTCGGGCGGCTGCCTACCAGCCGGGTTTTTTTTTTCGAATTTTTGCGTCTGTTTGTTTCTATGTGACTGATTATTTTCGCTTGTTTCGGGGTTTTGTCTCCTTATGCTTGGGAGGTTTCGGTTGAATTTGGGTTTGCGAGCCGTATGCGGGGGGTTTGCGTGACATATGGGGGAATGGTGTAGGGGCGGCTAGAAGAAGGGGCTTGGGGATACCCGATTTTCTATCCATTGGGGTTTGGAGCGTAGCAGCGATGGTGTGTGACGACGTGCGAGGGTGAGGGTCGAAAAACGACGGTGGAAGGATCCATCAGCGGACGTCGGCAATGGCTACTTCTACCACAAGTCTCTGCTCTAGTTGTTGGGTACCAGTTTTGCGACTCGAGCCTTCGAGATGGTCGCCAGGGCCACACCGCACGACATGCGACCAACGCGGTTTCTGGAGGTTTGGGCGAGGCGTCAGCGGTTGGTCGTATAGTGTTGGCGAACGGCTACGCGGGAAAAGTGACACAGGTGCCGCAACTGTACCGCCGGGGGAGCCCGAAAGCAATAGAAAACTTGGGAAAAGGGTTTGATCGTCACAAGATGAACGACCAAATAAACAGAGATTGGTTGGGGGAGCAAAGGGGAGTGTACGGAGTCCCGAAAACAAGCAGGTGTTGTGAAGAGGTACAGTGGGCCGCAGCCACAGGCAGGTGCAGATAAAAAGGAGCAGTGAGCGGGAAGACAAGCGGAAACAGCCTGCCCTGCTAGATGCTTAGACCAGGACCTTTTTCCGCCGAGCTCCGCACGTGATTGTGGGCCTAACTCAGTTGGTAAGGACCGCGAGTGAGGTTCGGGAGGTCGACGGTTTGATCCCGATGGGCCTCATGTACCTTCTTGGGCATGCTAGGAGCCCGCTACCTAGAGATAGACCACCGGGTCCCCTGTTCGGCACAGAGCAGAGTCTGCTGATGTTCGGACCTGAGGGGAGGCACAGGGGTTGGCCCTGTCTGCATGGTCCCTGATGACTACCGACTGTCCCCTGGTCGGTATCCCTCACCTGCAGGTAGGAAGCAGCCCCTGCATGTTGTCTCACGAAACGGTTCTGGCTGCTGCAGGGTTTCCTGTATGCCTACAATTGGGAGTAGTGGTAGGTAGGTAGTGTGAGGTGAAATTGAGAGGAAAACATACCTCGGCTTGGGGGTCAGATACATCTAGGCCAGTTGAAATATAGGCCTGTGTTCGAACTCTGCTGGGGACAGACGATTCGGGAAACCTCATCTATCCATTAGGGGCGAACGAGCGGGAAGGGGGTAGAATTTTGAAGAGGATGTATCTGGCCCGGGGAAGAGGGAAGGTGCAGGGAGCACAGCAGGGGAAAGGAAAGCGGGAAAGGCAAATTGGTGAACGGGTATGCGTAGAGAGGCAGTTCTTGATAACTGCCTCTGGTCTTCTTGAAGTGCGCGTGCGCGCACAGTAGCAAGAGAGAATGTCTGGAGTAGGGGCCAGAAAAGGGGGATCTGACAAAGGCAAACGGACCAATGCTGGTGGACGAGCAGCTGGTCGGTGCCGACTAGAGGAGGATAAAGGGAGGAGAGGAGGAGACTTCAGGGGGGTCTTGCCGGGAGAGGCAAGGATAGCGCACGGAGCGCACGTGAGAGTGCTCGTCCGAGGGGAGTTCGTAGCGCACGGTGGGATGTGCGGGGAGATGCACTAAGAGCACGGTGGGATGTGCGGGGAGATGCACGAAGAGCACGGTGGGATGTGTGGGGAGATGCACGAAGAGCACGGTGGGATGTGTGGGGAGATGCACGAAGAGCACAGTGGGATGTGCGGGGAGATGCACGAAGAGCACGGTGGGATGTGCGGGGAGATGCACGAAGAGCATGGTGGGATGTGCGGGGACATGCACGAAGAGCACGGTGGGATGTGCGGGGAGATGTACGACGAGCACGGTGGAGTGTACGGGGAATCGCACAGGAAGCTCGCGAGAGCGCTCGGGAGTGGAGGCCACACTAACATCCGGGGCGCAGCGCTAGGAGTGGTGCAAAGGAAGGGGGGTGAACCCGGGGTGGAAAGTTAGGCCAGTTGTGGGCGGGGAAGAAGGAAGCTGGAGATGGCGGGGAGGCAGAGGAGGCGCAGCGGGAAGAGGGCAGCCCGCGCGACTCCCGACTGAATCAAGCGGGCGAAAGGCCGAGGGCTGGCCGCTTCGAGCGGGACCGAAGGCTTCATGGCGAGGGGTGACCATGAGAAGAGCGAACAGCGAAGGCTGCCGATATTTTTTTTGGCAGGAACGGAGGGCGGTATGCCGATGCTTTTCAAGTGTTATGGCGGGAAAAGCCCTGTAGAAGAGGTTTTGGAAAGGCATCATCGTGCTGAGAGGTAGGCCAGCATGTCTGTTGGCACACTCGGAGGCGCCTGCTCGGCACCACATGGCGGGCCATGCTGTCGTGAATGCCGTTGGGATCATCCTGTACAAGTCCGGGCTCCTGGTCGGGGCAAGGCTTAGTTGAAGTCGCCTTTCTTGTGCATACATGGTGAGCGAGTTGGTGACTCCGGACCTGCTTGTCGGTGGCGCCTCCAAATCTCATCACGATGTCGTTGCCCCGGAAGAGAAACGGAGAGAGAAACGTTGACGCAGGATACTGATGACAAACGGGGAAATACTGGTCAGTGGCAGAGGAAGGAGTTGGAAGAAGGAAGGGAAAAAAAACTAATGGAGACGTGGTGTGAGTTTGGTTCTTGCCGCGCAGTGTGGAAAGGGGAAAGGAATCAATTCCTTTCGCTCGCAATGTGAGGACTGAGATGTCCTATCTGCTCGGCTGCAGGGATCTGATGCGAGAGAGAGAGAGAGAGAGAGAGAGAGAGAGAGAGAGAGAGAGAGAGAGAGAGAGAGAGAGAGAGAGAGAGAGAGAGAGAGAGAGAGAG